ATTCAATACCAATGGCTACTAAACGTAAAAAGACGTTCTAATATTGTAAATGACAATAAAAAATTAAAGTTTCCCGGATGGTCAAAGAATTGTCGTTTGTGCCCAATACTATCTCTTTAAGACGCTAAAAACGGAGGAAGTTGTACAATACTGAATCCTGCAACGTCAATGGGAGTAATGAAGTATTTATATACCAAGGAGCTATTTTCCGACCACATTATATAGTTTCCACCGCGACTGTAACTGAGGAATTCTCTGATCACTGACACAATCCTAACCGCGATTTCTATATGAACACAACTATGCGTGATTCCGTTTGATAAATTAACCCCTCCCTGCCTGATGTTATGAATATGCTACTGCAAATTGTGATTAGTTGGAATGTATGTAAATTAATCGCATTTACATAATGTGATTAGTCGGAATTAATGTGAATAAATTAATCAGGTTCACAGAGGTGCGCAAATTATTCACTGCAACAGAAAACGAGAAGGAACAAGACCTTTTCTTTCTATAAATGACGGTTTTATTTACAATTTCTTATGAGTCGATTTAATAGTTAATATGCATTTCTTTTTTTTTCGGTTTTCAGCCGATAAATTGTTACAAGTTCGGACTGCTTTTGATGGAGCCTTAAACACGATGCCCCGGTACGGCATCGTTATAATATAATAAATCCTCACACGCTTAAGATAACAGACGATTACTCCTTAAAAAAAAAAACACGTTTTATTTTTTAACAAAAGAAAACCTAGCATTACTTTCCCTTGTTGCCATTTCGAATCTGTAACTTAAACACAACCATCCATAATTTCTTGATATTTCTATTTCAAACACTGTCGAACCGTGAAAATACAACAATTCACACACCTCTGTACAGTGAACCGTGACAATGTTTCTTCGTATTGCAGTCGATAAAAAAAAAAACAAACCCCAAAGTGTGTCTTAAGACAATAAAAATCCAGTTAAAGAGAAGAATACCTAGTGCTCGATTGTTTACAATGGAAAAACGTAAAATGCTTCAAAAATCACTCGTTTCCTAGCGCGCCTTTGCAGCCCAAGGACCGTTTTCCTGATTGAGCAACGATGACTTCCGGTTTATAGGACGGTTCGTAAAACACTTCGAGGAAATATTTCGCTTACTTTGTAAAACCGTGAAAGTAAAGTTTGGTCGAGCGATTTTTCCGTCAACTCCAGCAAAATTCCCCGAGGACACAGCAGCGGGAAAGATAAAGGCTTGCCAAAAGGGTGGATGCCAACGTCATGGAAACTAACCCGAAGAAGCGCTATTAAAATGAAATTAAAAACAAAAAAATAGTCGAATGCATTTGTGGAGACTTGGCACCAGGTCCTGGCAGAGCTTGACAAGCCTTCTGTGGTTCGACTTTTGGGGGGAGATCTTCTTTGCGGAAGATTGTCTAGGAAGTTCATATATAATATAGAGACTTAATTATTTATATATATATATAGTAATATAATGTATACAAAATGTATTAACAAAATCAGGCACAAAGGGGTTCAATGATATCGATGGTTTGAATTGCTCGAAGACAGATGGATCCTAGAGATCGGATGAGGAAATCGATGACAACTTGACTGTATTGAGAAACACGACGAATTGGGGTGTTAATAAGTGGTATCGACTGATTGAACAGATCGTCCTGATTATATAAAACTTGTTTTTTTTTCCTCTGTTAACTCTAAATACTTTCCTCCTCGACTAAACACATCCAAAGTGTGACACGAATTTTTAAACATCGGAAGCATATACATACGAAAAGAGACAAAAGGGAACGCACACGCGGTAAATCTGTTCCTGAAACGAATGAGAAGTTTACTCAGGGTTGAGCAATATATCGAGTACTCCTAACTTGTTTAAATGACCACATAACACATTTACTCGTATGTACAACCAAAATTCTCGCAGCGACGAACGAAGGGAATCGAATATTTGGGGGGACAGAACGGATGCTCCAGTTGCTCGATTCCAGAAATTACAAAACAAAATGAATGAAAGAACGAGTTTGTATAAAAAAAAAAAAATTAAATTATCATTCACGGTAATAAAATGTACACCACACTCTCTGCACGCGGATGCAACCAGAACACAAGGAGGGAAGAGACATAAGATACAATATAAACATTAACTGCTTTAAACAAGTCGAAGGGTAGCTTTTTGGTTTTCTTTCTTTTTTGTTATACGACCCCCGTGTCTAGCTGCACCCTCACATTGGAGGCTCTAGATACAATTAGAGAGAATAAACGAAAACTCGATGAGTATTACATTGGTAAAAAAAGTAAAATGCATTTGCACTCAATCCGTGCTGTGTACAACGATAAAAAAAAAAGAACGCCCGTATTATCACTTGTATTCCACAGACAAAAACAAGCCACAGCAATAACACGCGCGCTTGGTGTACGGCGAGGCCTCGTTGCACTGCTCGAAATAATTAAACCGCGCGCCCACTAATATGGTATATCCGGAACCCAGTGCCAGGATATATTAAGTCTACTTTTTAAAAAAAAAATAACATTTTACAATGGTTATTACATCAAATTTTTCAAAATAACAAATTACGATTTAAAAGCCTGGGCGTTAAAGGGTTAAGTCCATAGCTTCTTCAGAGTCAAACAGTGTAAGTCCATCGCACAGGGGACTTAATACAATGTTCACAATTTCCACGTATGGAGACACTTGTCTTAAGTCGATGCAATAGGTCAGGAAAGTTCCGAAAAGTTGCAAGATTTCTGCACCTTTAATTCGCTCCCCCGTAAAGTTCAAAAGGCGTGGCCTTAATATCCTCTGGCTCCGGGATCCAGATACATTCGATGTCACGAGAGAGAGAGAGCTGCTCGTGTCGTCGAAAATGGAAAAGTTCCGTAAAAATCTTAACCTCCTAACTCGAATAAAATTGCGAACTAGATCGAACAGTGCTGGACAAACGACTCCGCTAAAATGAAACTTCGGTTACTGGTTCTTAGACGCTTGGTGCCGCAACTCTCTATTCGTTAAAAGACCTTCCTCTCTTATTTTCGCTCGGAGAAGACTAAACGATTTCGTTTCTCATCTCGCGGGACATACACAATCATCAGAGCTGCTTCCAAATATCGAAGAGAAATCGAAGAAAATATTGAGAATCGAATTGTGAAGTTCACAACGGAAGCAGCTGGTCCATTTTTTTTTATTGTACGCAAATGCAAAATCTGCATACCACAGAACAAAAAAAAAAAAAAGATATAGGTAAATGAAAAAGAATGTATCCACAGCCCCATGTAATAGAAAATACACGATCGTCGTTGTTTTTTTCCACTTGATCAGGGAACATATTATATTGCAACTCGAGGCTCGGTTTGGTACCGCTAACATAACCAGCGTCGCCATTTTTCGAAACGAAATCGTCGGCCGAAGATAGTACCCGCGCGGTATATTTGTAATCTTATTGCAACGTCCACATTCTCCTGTCTTTTCTATGCTCGTTAGATCCCAGATAGCACATGACGCCCAATGACGCCATGAAGACGGCTTAAAGACGCCTTAGACCTAAAATAGCCGTAAAACGGGCGTCTTCAAGGTGTCATGTGGTATCTGGGATAATATTAAAAAATTGCGCCCGAGCGACGGCACGATCGATGAGGGAATATGTTTCGAACGGAGAATACAAAACGTGAATCTCAACGCTACAAAAGCATAACGCAAAGTGGCTTCTCTCTGATCCCACATTTCGATCGTGCGTAAACGCCCAATTAGAGACGAACAGAGACGAGATAGCGAGAAACTGTACAATTCTCGTTTGAAAACAATGCTTTTTGCCCCAGTAAAATTCTATGTTACTCCTTTTTTCTTTTGTTTTGTAATAATACCAATATGAAAAATGATTTGGCACAAGATACTAATATGAAGATCACATGTCAGTGGCGAACTCCCGCCCTTTAACCTCTCTCTGTTGGAAAAGTACATTATCTCTGTTCATCTCCATTTAATTTAGAATTGAATCTTTACGCCGTACTAGAGACGAATACACGAACCGATATATGTATTTCTTGTCACTCGCTCCATTCTCTTCCCCTCTCACTCTCTCATCCTACCTTGCACGAATAAAAGCATCACAAAAAATTGATACAAGTGTACGATACGTCACGCAACGGAAACGTAAAAAAAATAATGAAAAACCATTTTTCCGACTCTCGAGGACAGTTTCGACCGCGATGGAAACGGAAAGCCATTCAACAGATCTATGTATATATACAAACAATGTACATCGCAGCATACAAACTGCAGACAATATGGAGGATAGACCTGACCACCGTATGAACGTTTTCATCAGAATTCCCGGAAAAATGACACACTCTCGAATACTTGTCACTTTTCTTAACATTCAACGAATCTTAACCGTCTTGATTTAAACCTTTCAATCTTCTATCAAGCGGCGCACAAATGAACAAAAACAAAACTAGTATCCCAAAAAATCATCAACACCCACTCGAAGTAGGAAGTTCAGTTTGCCCAATTAGAATAGTTCCTAATGCTTCCTCGTTTTGTAAAGTTCCATCAAAGTTGCGGTACAACCAATGTACTCTAATTTTAGATCTAAGAAAGATCTGTAGGAAACCAGGTCTATCCTACACACCTAGTCTGCACAGAAACAAAAGAAATCCAGAAGATAAAGCTTCCAAGTCGTCGGACACGCACGACTCCGAAGGGATCGCTACTCACTGCGGTCCCTTCCACATAACACGATTCAATCCCCCTTCCCCCCCCCCACGGAAAGATACAAAGTGTGTTTCACGGATATAGTGGTCGCCACGTTAAAAAAAAAAACGAAACGAAGATTCGCCGCGGAATAGAATCACATTTCACTCGGTTAGAGTTCGAAGGTATATATCCCCTATCGACAGTCCTGCCCGTACCGCGTCGGAGGCAAGATCACAGAATAAGGCTCAATTGTCACCCACGGTGTGTATAATTATATATACTTGTCCCCCCCCCCTTTTCCCCTGGCGTTTCCCACCCCTCCTTTTTCTTAACGCTAAATGCAAGTAGAGTCTGGATGCTGACTGGCGGACTTCCGAGACTTCTTCGGCTCCTTCGTGGTCAATTCCTGAGAGGGCCTTCGCGGGCTACCCAGTGTAACCAACGCAGACGCCACTGCCAAACCGGCACTCTGACCGGCCGGGGTATACGGTTCACCGCCGGTTGGCAGTCTGACTAGCAACGACAGGACCGCGGCTCTGTTCCCGCAACAGGGCTCTAGTGCGATCGGACTAGGGGCATCCTGGAATTATGGACACGTGATTGATACTCTGAATCTTCTTTTAGAGATGATTGTTCAGAAAATACTAGTGATGGGCGATACAGTGTCTGTATTTGTATATTGAATCCTAACCTTTTTATTCTTACGGCAATTGGGCGGCTCGGATTCACTCCGCTCTGAATCCGAGCTACTGACGTCCCGCCTCTCGATTTCCACTATGACCTGGCTGAACGCCCTGTTCGCCATCTGCTGCATCTCTACAAAGAGCCTCTGTCTTCCTCTACACATGTCATACTCTTGTTTAACCTTCCAGAGGGCAGCGGCCACGAATAATAGAGCGAGGAAGCACCTGGGTGATGGCATGTAATCTCTAATTTACAAGTAAATACTGCCTGAGGCTCAGGACAACACAAAAGCGTGGGTAATTTTTGAAAGTAAATAAAAAACGAAAAAACGTATATATAGATAGAATGAACAAAGTGTGCGATCATGATTTTTGCTCTTTGTTATTCTATAGAGAACGCGACACAGATATTCCCATGTGTGTGTAGTTACAATGAGTGTGGAAATTTTGTTGTTCGCAAATGAAGGGTTAGGTACTCACGTGCAAAACGTTATGAAGAACTGCTGCAGATTCAGCTTGGAATACTGAGAGAAGGAGATCTGAATCCACACAGGCGGCTGAAAGTCGTACACGTAGACGTAGAATGTGGTCAATGTGTTGTTGTCCTCGCTGCCGAAGCTGTAGTCCGCTTTGCTGAAACGATGCTTGTACATGCTGGTCGTGCAGTTCGCGCCAATCAGTAGAGCCATTTCTGGTGTGTTCGCCTTCTTGATGGTCACGTTCATTTTGGCAAGTACAGAACAGGTAATAGAGAACTCCGCGTCGATGTCGGCCTTCGGTGGAGAATTCTTGAAATTGATGCCTCTGTACTGGCGATCCTCTTTCTTGCTCAGGTTAAATGTAAACTGGTAATCGATGGCCAAGTCATCTATAAAGTATATACATGTAGGTTAAGGTGAATTGTAACATGTCCGGTACAGAAACACAGGGTGGGCCAAAAGATCAGGTCATAGAACAGCAGTGTGATGTTATCTTATAATAATTGGAACTTTTTCATTTAATTGAAAATATACATATTGTGATAGTGTCCTTGACCGATCCTGTGCTTTGAAGAAAGAAAGAACGGAAGTGAATTTGAATAGCTTACAAAAGCATGATCCTTGGTTCGTGGGATCCCCATAATAGAGACTAGTCACGTCGCAACGCTCGCAATGATCACCTATGATGCCTTTCGTTGTACAGAAACATTTTCCCGTCTCGCTGGTGCACTGTGTGCCTTGGTTATTACAAAAACAAGCTGCAACGCGAAACCGTAGTTAAATAAACGTTCGATATCTATAGGTTTAGTAACGGATCACTGAATGAGTAGTAATGACTGAGGTAAACTTACGTTGGCAAGTGGCTCCGTTCAGTGGACTCCCATAATAGCCGGGGATACATTTGTCGCAGTGATACCCGTAAGTCAAATTCCCGCAGGGCTGAATACATACGCTGCTATTTGGAAGACACTTGCTGTGGCCGTTGCATTGGCAGACTAAACAGTAAATCGAGTGTATTATTAAATTCTCAGTTCAGATACCACTGTACCCAAATATTCGACATCAGAAAATGTTCATTGCTTATTTATCGGTACTAAAAGTCAAAGAGTTTTTACTCTATGAATTCACACATGGAGTACTACTACAGAGCAGCAAGACACATTGACAATGATAATAGGAAGCTTTAATAGAAGATAGAACAACAAAAGAATGACTCAAAGAAGTTAATTACTTCATGACCAACTAATTAACTCACAATTAACTCCCAATATAATTCACAAATACTGTTGCCTTGCAGTTCACTTACTAGGGCATTTGGTAAAGTACCACCGTTCGAACGGACAGGTGTCCAAGCTTTTCGTACTAGGACCACGCGCTCCGCCTGGCAGGCAGAGTCCCTTTCCGGTTCCGGAACCGTCGTCGCACCATCCACATTCGGGATCCGAGCGACACGCAGCGCAAGACGAGTAAAATGTACACCATTCCTTTCCTGTCTCGGTAGCACGACATTTAGCGTCTATCGTGGTCCATTCCCGGCACTGACCATACGGAAAGCTCACTGGATACGCATTCTTGTCCACGCATTTTCGTTCGTTCTGACACCAAATGCAGTCCGACTCCGTGCAATTCTTGCAAGATGTGTACTCCACGCATGGACTGCGACATGAGTCGATGGACAAACGTTGTGCTTGTATAGTGCCATTTAAAATCGTCACCTGCTGGGAAACATAACTTAACGTTAATTTTCGCTTTGCGCATACCTTTGGGCTAATTGAACGACAGGCTTTTAGGCATTCATAGCAGATACAACTGATTAAAAGTACAGTTAAATGATACATGTATTAGGTGCACCAAGAAGTAATCTAATGTTTCTTCACGAGGTACGTATTCGTTTTCTATACAAGTGTAGTGTAAAATATATGGTATGCTAATTCAAAAATATAGTCGATTACTTATTGGTACACTTAATACGTATGCTTTAGGTTCTTTTGTAACTACAACAAAACTATTACCGGTGGCACCAGATTTCTTCTATGAAGTAGGTTTGAATAAAGGTCCGCAATCTAGTGATAATATTAAAAGTCAGAAATTTTCAGACATTCGTATATCGTTTTTAAAATATTTCTATTTTTTTTTTTTTCAATATAATTCACTTTAACATCAATACACTTGGGCCGACGATATTCAAATTTTATAGACCTCTACGTTCTAAATAGAGATAACTTGCATTCGAATTCGCTTCTGATAAATTGTTATACCAAATACTAGTATGCATGAATACAAAGTACTGTATAGTACACTGACTAAATAAGTTACAATTATTCAACAAATGAAAACCAACAAGGAACGAAAAATTTTAAAACTACCAATCCAATCTATACTTCATTCCAAGAACTTTTTGAATGACCCACTCACACTACCGTTCAGAAGTATTCGGGACAGCAGGTCCTAATAAAAATGATATATTTTGGACCTCTTTTATAACTTTATATTAGCGTAAGTATTGTCCATCGTGCTTTAACATTTGTCAAACAATATTTACTTCAGGATGTGTTTTATTTATTACACAACCGTCATACGTCTCATTCTGTCTATTCTACAAAAGTCCCAATACTTATAAACGGGTGTGTGTGTACGTAATTATAGTAAATGCCAAATAAAACCATAACTGTTTGATTTATTTTTAATTCACTAAGATATTTAAGGGAACCAAGAAATTCCTAACCTTATTATTATCTTTATGAATTACTTTATATGTCATTTCGCATAAAAATCCGCAGTCTATTGATAACTAAGGTAACCGAGTGGAATATGCACAAACAAGACCGAAATTCGTCGTTTTCGCAGTTATGGTCTCATTTGCCGTCGAGTATACATCAATATCAGTGTAGGGGATTGAAACACCCACGTTCGGTTACCAACCTCGCGAGCCTTCGAATGCGGCTTGCACCGATCCGGCCCGTTCGACCAAGACCAGATGCAATGGGGATTGCTGGTGCACGCGTGACACGTGTGCAATTGCAGGCATTCGATCCCGGTATGCGGATCGCACTGTTCCAGTTCCGTGATCGCCTTTGTCGGCGGCGCGTTCGCATTGTCCCGGCATATTTCGTGGGAGCAACTTTTTCCGCACCATACGCAGTTGTACGACGTCTGGACGCACGCCACGCAGTCGGTGAGCACCTTGCACAGCTCCTTGTGGGACGTCATGCCGCGTGGCGGCGTGTCGTCCAAGCATCTCATGTAAATCCCGTCGTGCATATCGTCGTTCAGAAGCACGTGCCTCGGTATCCTGGTGATCTGTATACACCTGTTCTCCCGTTTCTCCCAGACGCACTTCACGCCGGTCCGGGCGTTCAGGCACTGATTCTGATTGGTCAGATGCTCGCAATTCCCCGGTGTGTATCTGTATGTGTGTGTCGTCCAACAGGTTAGATGGGATATGTTAAGAAATTGTATTCTTTAAGATGACAGGGGGTATATCTGACAAGGGAAGGCACGGAAGTGTCTCCGAAATCGGAGAACACTTCCGTGTCTACCCTTGTGAGTCTCTCCATGTACGAAAGGGGATCACGGTGGACTACAATCTTCACTTGATCGTTAAAAATTCCACTGACGCCGTGAAGTTATACACACACAGTAACGTGAATCCTAATCAACGTACATTAAAAATATCCTCTCACCTGAGCATGTTGGACAGCATCTGCCCGTCGAAACCGCCGTAAATGTACATCGACTTCTCGAACACGGTCGCGCTGTGCCCGTACCTGGGCAGATCGGTCATCTCCTTGGGCATGGGGAACTGGTGCCACGAGTCGCAGGTGACGTCGTACGCTATCGTATCGGCCGAGTAACACTTCGTCCCATCGGAATGCTGCGTGTCGTTGTGCATGTTCCCGCCGAAGACGATCATCAGACCGCCGGAAACGAACACGGCGGTGTGAAAGAAACGAGCCGAAGGCGCTGACGTGAGCAACGTCCATTCGCGATATTTTGGATGGTAGGAGTACAATCGACTGGTCAACAGCTGCGTGCTTTGGGACTCGGACACGTAACCGCCGTATATGTAGATCAGGTTGGATAGAGAGTCGTAGGCGGATGTGTGACCGTAACCGCCTTTCACGGGGAAACCAATTGTCTCGACGATCTGCCATTCACGGTTGCCCAGATAGTACTCCTGGACCACGTTCAGGTAGCCGTATTGGGGCGAGTAACCGAAGATCACCACCATCTTCTCCTTCTTGCCGTGGCTCTGCACTAGGGTTGCGGTGTGTCCAGCTACCTGTGTGAAGTGACGTATTAAAAAAGGCTGATGGGCATAACCTAAACCAATGGGTCTCCAACTTTACTCTCCGGAGGGGACTCCTCACGCGCCTGCTTCTCCTTTCAATCTTTCGCGCCATATGTCAGTGACTACCATCGTTTATTGAACATTATTGGGAAACAAATGGCCGGGAGCACCGTTCGTAGGAAATTATAAATATTGTACGTTAGTTCGGTAGCTAATGGAGAGATCAATCGGAAAAAAAACGTGACCGGAAACGATTGTGTTATCACCTTCAAGGGGCCGCACATGGTCCTGTTGTTGTGGCAGTTGTCGTGCACGGTTACATTCTCCCAAACTTTCGCGGACACGTCGAACGCCCAGATCTCATTTGTGACCGTCGAGTTCTGCACAACGCCGCCGTACATAAATATCTTGTCGCCGAACAGCACGCACGAGTGGGCATAACGCGGCAGAGGCGCCTTCCCCTCGACGTGAGGTGTTTCCCAAACGTTCCCGTTGTAGTCGTAAACATATATCATCTTCGCCCGATGGAAACTCTCACCACCGACCACGTACAAGGAATCCTTCCAAACGATGGAACAGTGACTAGCCGAGCCTTCCGGCGAGAAGTCCGTGTAGGTAACGGTCTCCCAAAATCCTTTGTCGCTTCTCTGGCTGCAGTCCGCCCCTGAGAATCAGCAACGCATCGGTAAGAAAAGTAAATCAACAGTCTTTTTATCTATAAGCAGTGAAATTCAAAGTCTATTTAATAAGGCCACCGGTCAATAGAGTGTTAAGTGAATACAGAACTGTCTTTCACGCCCTCAAAAATACAAATTCAAGAAGTAAACGTGTGTCCCCAACACGTGAAAGGCAATAGAAAGTGTCAATACTCGATATCCAATTTAGTTTCACCGTGAAAAGAATCGCTGAAATGTCGATCCTCGTGCGAGTATATAATTCTACGAGTTAGTCGTATCTTGTATGTCAAGTGGTATAACTTTCTAGACATGTCGGTAGTTTTCCATGCGACTGAATTCAACCGAGCTTCCTGTCGACCGGTACAACTTAAAGGAGGGAAGGGATCCTCACCCTTGTAACCGTGGACGCAGTCGCAGTGGTGGCTCTCGCGGTTGCACTCGCCCTGTCCGTAACTCTGCGAGCAATTGTTCGGGCAGACTTGAACCTCGCAGGCCTCGCCGGTCCACGTGGCGTCGCATGTACACACACCGTCGATGCAGACCCCATGTCCGGAACAGTCTGTATGCGAGTACCTGGGGAATCGAGCACAGTTTACAATCTACAGTAGGTGATACACTAGATCTAGCCCTGCCTAGATATCATAGGGGCTAGGTGTTTATACATGGGCTAGGTGTTTATATGGGGGGGCTCAGTGTTTGTATGGGATCTAGAAGTTTATGTGGGGGGCTCAGTGTTTTTATGGGAGCTAAGTGTTTATACATGGGCTGGATGTTTATATATGGACTAGGTGTTTATATGAAGGCTAGGTGTTTATATGGGTGCTTACTGTTTAAATAGGGGCTAGGTTTTCATATGGGGACCAAGTGTTTACGTTTACAATTTTCCGGAACCAGTTCAAAAGAAGAACTAATTTCGAAGTTAAATGCTGTGCACAGTACTGAAAGCACAAGATCTTCGTTAAGTATCATTTGCCTAATGGAATGGTACTATTTAGTGACTACTAAACTTAAGTTCATGGCTCTGATAAATTTGCTATCTCACTATTTGTATATGAATATCATCGACTAGGAAGTCGTTATTATTGTAAATTATTATTGAGCAAGTTCCAATTGAGCAAACAGTGGTCGATCACTCGTATCATGCTAAACTAAAAGAGCAGGACAATTAGACTGATCTCTGGAAACTCAGTTACGACATCACTGGCGCTATCGTCACAGTCGCGTCTTTCTACAAAGAGGGAAAAGATATACTGTGTAAATCTTGAAGAACGTGAACGACACCCGTGGCCACTATGTATCTCCACACAAGCGGCTGGTAAACACACGCTTATCGTGTTTAAAGGAGAACAGAATAAACATTTGTGTAATCACTGGACAAATAGTGCTTCGCTGGAGGGAGTAGATGAAGAGGACCTTTTGCGACTTGTTTTCTCTGAAAGTATGGAAAGATAGATATTCCGTTATATTTTTATTATAACACTGATAGGATTCTGCTAACAGACCCCCAAAGGTGAAGAAAAGGTCCCTTAATTTTTTTTTTTCAAATTGATGTTTTACTCTTTGATTACTCAGAAAGGGGACCTATATTATTAATTTTCATTCATAAAAGTAACGTCAAACATAAACTATCAATAAAATCATCCATTTCACATGCAACGATCAAACATTATTCCTTCTGCATACAATGATCTCAAAATAAAAAAATAAAAAAGATAAAGCAAGGAAAATATGAAAATCGAACTCTCCAGAAGTCGACCGTGCAAACTCAAACAACACCGGTGTGTGTATGCATCGTGCAAACAAGCTCTCGACCTGGGAAAAAGAAAGCGGAACGAACGAGTGGGAAGGGGGGTGTGCGGCAAATAAAAATGCGTACTATACGCAAACAGATCATCCTCTATCGGGTCACTTGTCCCCTAACTCTTCCGTATCCTGTAATCTAAGATTGATCATCTATAAAATTTGTTTAAGAGAAATATTGACTTATGAAATTCAAGTATGGTGGATTGCTATGTAAAAAAAAAACTCGATAAAAACGCGACTTTTTAATACTTTCTATTTCAGGTTTCATGTTTGCTTTTGATTGGTTTGACAGTCGCATTCATCGATGGATCACTGTACAGGGTGTCCCAAAATAGTTTCGTCTCCCGTAAAGGAGGGATTCCTGGGACGATTTAAAACAACATTTTTGCTCAGGAAAAAGTTGTTTCAAATCACCTCAAGAACCTCCTATTTCCGGCAGACGAAGCTATTTTGGGACACCCTGTATAGTGACAAGGATGATCCCCTTCCCCCTCCCCCTTTTTAGTTTACCTGCTCGGGCAGGCGTTGATTTTGTAAGTAATGTTGAAGCCGCTCATGTTGTACGCGACGTCCGAGTAGAAGTGCAGCAACGCGCTGCCTGAACGGGCTATCACTTCCGGCACGCGTCGCCTATGATGGCCATCTTTGCGCATCAGCCCGGAGAACACGGCGAGCAACGGCGCCTCGACGCTGTCACCGTCGTAAATGTACAGGTGATCCCAGCCGCATTCGGTCGCGAACTGATCGACGTGCATACGGATCGTCGAGTTCGGATTGCTCTCGATCAGCCAGGAACACTTCACGTCCGCCGTGTAATTGCCGATACCGTCGTAGATGTGGCCGCTCGGCTCCGATAATCTGCAAGAAGAACAAGATATTCAATCTATCGAATGGTTTCGCAGTAAATGAAATGTTGAAGGAACGTGGTAGCTTCCTGGGAACTTTTTAAGACTATACAGCGTGGAAAAGAACCGAAATACAGTGGACTCTAAGCTATATTGCCATGGTTCGGGCTGTAGGGGAGTAATATGGCGATGAGTCAGAGTCCCCTCCATGCTAAGCTGGGTCGCGCTGGTGCACCGGCGTACGCAATGTGGTAGGGGAAGACAATATGTCTAGTGGCAATATAGTTAGAGTCCACTGTATAGTTTGGCCCTTGATCAAATCGGTGGAGACTGGGGTAAAGTGAGCCTTTTGGCTTTTACTTTTCAAGTTGAATTTATAAATATTCTAAGTTCGTGTGAAGTATTGCTACTCGTAATTTGTCAATGGTAATGTTTAAATTATATTATAAATTTATTCGTACACATTTTTATTGTAAAGAAAAAATGTTATTCTACTTTAAACTTGCCTAGAACTACTTTGTCCCGGTCTCCCCTACGTTTATGTTGGAGCTGTGATAAACGATTAAAGTGGTGACAAGAGCAAAGCGTAGAAGTACAATCTATTGTTTTATAATGGAAGTGTTTATATTGCAGCAACGAGTAGAGCGTACGATACGAACGATAAAAACGACGAGAAAGAAATATTTCTTTTTCTTCGCTGTTATCACAGCTCCAACATAAACGTACCCCTTAACCCCTTGGGTACATTTGACGACTCAGACACTCGTTGTGCACTTATTTCGCCTAAATTCAGGACAACGAATCTAACTGGTTGTTCGAGTGGAGACACTATTTAACATGTAATATTCTTATTTATTTCAGTTGTTATTTCAAAAGCATTATGGCAGGATAAGGGGATCAAAAGTGCCTTTAGATCGTTAGAATGACAGCGATTGCGCCCCTTGAATTTTTATGCCAGGTCACTAACAGACAACGTCGATGAGCACGGTGTTACCGAACCGTTTACGCAACAACGGAGGGGAACATTACGTCTTATATTGTTACAGGTCACGATTGATCCATAAATGCTGATTTTATCCGTTTATATTACGCTGAGTCATAAATAACTTCCTGTTTCCTTTTTGAAATTTCGGTTCAATCAAGACGTTCCCACTATTGAATATAAATCTACAACACGTTCTTCTTTACCATTAAATTTAGCAATTAACATTCAATTGAATTATTCTTATTATCATTCCTATTTAATTATTATTTTGTAAGTTTTGTAGACGTTTGATACATGGCCTCGTTTAACAATAAGTTTCTGACAGATTTTTTTTCGTCCAACAATCGACCACAATTTTTAGTCAAACATAACTGAACTATATAACTAATAGAACGGTCGACGTGCAAAGAACAAAGGACGGGGGACTCGTGAACACATATACACGAAAATATAAGCTAGCGATAACAGATAACGGAGTACGATAATGAGTCTGCAAACTGATAAAAACGGTAATGTTAATCATCCAACGAACCTCTCGGCTTCTGTGGCTCTTTGTTAAATCTGAATCGACGGTGGGGGGCGCGTTGAATGACTTGTTTCTGTCTGAAGCCTTGAAAATGCACTTACAAACGTTACTTTAATGCTCTACATTATAATTACTTTTAACAACTTGAAATTCAAGGTCAAAGTTTTTTACTTTCGCATCGTATTCTACTCGTCATCGTTCTCTCGATTATCGTCTGGGTTCTTCTACACGATTATTGCCCAGGCATAAAATGCTTAACAACATAGCAATAATAAAAATATCTAAAACCATTTAAAAAAAATTCTGAATCGAGAGTGCTGCCTGAATCTTTAGAAAATTTTTGTTATTTTTAGATGCAAATATCTCGAGATTAAATCTGAAATTGTTGAATTTGTTTTTGATGAAGTGGACTCGCACACGTCATGTTGCTCTCGAAATCCTACATCTACCCACGGACCGCCATTGCAACGCGAAATAATCACGGAAAATCCCCTTTATTGTCCTAAAATACAAGCCCCAGACTGTTTGCGTTTCTCTCGTTCAAGGTTGAACGCCACTTAGCGCCCGTGGCCCAGGAACACGTTTCTGGCGAAACGCAATTAAGCCGCAAATAAAATGCGTTTTCACACGGCCGGAAGTCGACGGTACCAGTGGGGGAGGGTCCCGTGTGGTAAAATTATTCTGAGGGGAATTCATCGCGCAGGGCAATCTCCGACATCAGAGAGTCGTCTTTGGACGACCGAAACCCCCATAAAACGCGCTAATTGGAGAGCCCCGGAGGGCACCGGAAGCGACGACGGAGCCTGCAAAACGGAACCAGCGACGACCTTCGGCGAACTCAATGCTGGCGCGGCCCTGGAACCGCCTTGAAAGAGAAAGTATGTAACAATAAACCAGAGGGGGTTGAATATGCATTGCAACTGGGCGACGACGACGACTGTACTGACGGCGAACGGAAATCCGCGAAAGGACTCGGCGACGCGCGCCACGGAATGGCAATATGGCAGCGGGACAATGTGCATAGGGTATTTTTCCAATCCAGTTAAATTACATTTTTAAAATATGTTCATAAATACACGTATTTTTGTTGTTTATATCAAATATTATTTAAAGTTTTTTTTTGCGTTTGAGTTAACTAAAAAATGGCACATGTTAGTAAATTTGGGTAACGTTTTTACAACTATAGACATGCTTCCAATAGACTTATACCACTTTCAATAATAAAATAATTAAATACAAATTTAAATTTATATTTCAATCGAAGTTGGCTTTTCTAAAGTGTAGTTTTTCAATATAAAAAGTAATAATTAAAATGAAGACATGTAAGTAAACGTAAAATTTGCTTTATTAAGAAATATTGAATAGTTATATTATACATAAATTTATAATAAAACAACTTTATCGTTAAGATAATGGTCGCTATTTCCCAATCATAACATCATTATTACAAACAAGTAAATACTGCGTATGAAATTCTTAATTAAATGATATTAAATTAATAAGGACGGCGACACTGTTTTTGCATCCGGGCTGCCAACAACCTAGGAACGTCCGTGGGTGGATGCATCGATGAATGACACCTGGGCGCGGGCGTTTATCGAGTAGAAACGTATTTACAGGGACGATCGCGTCCCCAGAAAGCGGATGCGGCATTGTCGGCCGGGCGACGTTCCAGGAATAACAATATGTTCAGCTCCGACAATGAAGGACGGGAGAACGGCGAATAAAAAAAAAAAAAAGAAATAAAAGAAAAACTGGGCTAACCCCCACCCCCTCCAACCCGCGGATGTTGGACTCGTGTACCTAGTGGAATCGTCGGCGCTTTGCCTGACGATAAATTCTCATCGGGGATTTACGGGGTTCGCACGTGGCGCAGACAGCACCAAAGGGGAGGGGGATAGCGTTAATATTTCCGGGGGACGAAACATTATTGCGCGGAGAACATGGAAATTAGAACATGGGAAAATTATTCGAAACCGAGAAAAAACGAATTTTTCGAGTCCTTGTTGAAGTGACATTTTTCATTTAACACTAAAAACTACCGAAAACTATAACACCTTTTTGAAACATGTAATTTTTTAAAGGGTGTACTTTGAACTTATGAAAAAGTATAGTATGTCTAATGGAAAAAGAAGAGAGTGAAGTGCTCTTTACATCTTTAAATACTCTCTACCCACAGAAGGACTATTACTGGCACTTAAATGTCCCCTTGGTACATATTTGCAAAAGGGTTAATTTCATCAGCAATAGGGTGAATTTTATTTGCAAAAGAGTGAATATGATTTGCAAAAAGTTGAATCTGGGGTGCAAATACTGTATAGTTCACCCAGATCGGAAGGACAAAAGCAAATTTACGTTCTACCAAGTTGTGGGCACGTTCTCTGAACGGCCCATAGTAGTCCCGGGAAATTGGAAAGCGTTCCAAATGTCACCTCGTCCATAAAGTCGCGTTCTCCTCACCCGTGAAACGATCGCGCGCCGTATAGCCAAGCGCGTTCACCCAGCCACCAGGCGCGACAGGACAATGATCCACAGAACGGCCTCGAATTAATCCTTCCTTCATCGTTCTCGATTGCTTCTCGAGAGGTAGCTACCGGGCCACGTGGACAAAAACCGGATTCGAAACCGGTAGAATTCGGACCGAGCTCGTTATGAATCTCTCGTGTTCCACCTGGTCCTGAATGTTCTACGGTCCATGCTGGTGTCGATCCTTGCGGCCTCGACGACTCGAATGATCAATATATCGACGATTCGAGAGATCGATGCATCGACGATTGGAAAGATCGATATATCGACGATTCAAATGATCGATGTACCGATGATTCGAAAGATCGATATATCGACGATTCAAATGATCGGTGTACCGATGATTCGAGAGATCGACGATTCGAACGATCGATGTACCGAATGATTCGAAAGATCAATATATCGACGATTCGAACGATCGAACCGATAATCGGTGAACAGCAGAAAGACCGTATAATCTTTCGTCTTATCGCGATATTAATAACGGTGATTCTAGTGATCGGTCGCCTTTACGAACCAGTTGAATCATTTTTAATCCCGGATCAGCGGATGTTGGTAAGAGTTTTACGACATAGCGGTATGTACTAGTAGTTGTGGCAGTTTAATTACACAGCGAGTCTCAATGATCTGTTAACCCGTCCGCTATTACGCGTTAGTACGGTAACCTGTTAACCGGCGGGGACAAGTTATCTCGTCACTAAACGTTAAGAAATCTCGCTGTGGTTAACCCTTCCACGCCTGAATTACGTTATCGTTGTTTATTTACCGCTATTTATCATTTCAGTTACTTGAGAACCGTGCCAAATAAAATTAAAACAAATTCTTTTAAATACGGTTTGCTTTTTATTCAAATAGTTAAATGTAGTGTCCCCGAGTGCTGGCACGATTTTATAAAACAACTTTGGTTTTCGCGTGACCATCCGGCTCTCACCGGGAATCCAAGGGTTGAATTTCCACGGTCGAAAAATTGGCGAAC